AACTTTCAGGTGTTTATATCGATGGGACAAATAATAGGCACATTATGTACGTATAAATTCACAAATATTTTAAACATATTTATTACAATTATTGTCAATCAAGTGGGACTCATATTCAAGTTTGTGAACCGGCAGCTAATAATAGTCCTGGTAATATTCGGGTGCGCCATTACCACCGTGTTAATGCCGTTGACGATGCACTTATGGCAACTATTTAGCCTGGCTGTTATTTTTGGTATCGGGGTTGGCGTGTGGTTTGTCTCGTTTTATATGTGGATAATGGAGATATGGCAGCACCGGTCGGGACCGGTATTGTTTTTGGCTCAGTTAATGTTGGGAGTGGGATTTACGATAGGTCCATTAATCGATAAGCCATACCTGACCGGTGATCTGACCAGCGGCGCCACTGATGATAATCATGATAAAAATAATGCCTTAATAGATGTCAATGAAAGGCGGTCTAAACTTTTTGTGCCGTTCCTTATAAGTGGATGCATAACAGCTATATGTGAGTAATTATGTACAGAATATTCTGTATATTTTAGAGTTATTTATTTGTATTATTTTTGAAAATATTTTATCAAAATTATTATTATATTTTTTTAAATTTAAAAATTATGTTTAGTCTACTACTAGTGTACCACTTTTCATTAAACCTACAGAAAACATTCATATAATTAATATTAAATGTTTTTGTTGCAGTTTGATATTTATTGAAAATGATAATTTTCTGTTTATAGTAATACTATTTTGAAAATTATTTATATCTAGTTTATTCTTTAATATTTAGATTAATTGATTAATATGTAAGTTAGGAACTTTTAATTTATTTTATTCACATTTAGTAATCTATCTAGTTTACTGAATACAAACTCAATTTTTATTAGTTCAATTAAAAATTAAGTTTATACAGTAATATTATTTTTTGACCATTCATTATATACCATTAAATTATCATTACTTATATACATGAAAAATATTTTATAAACTATTAACAGTTAGTATAATTTTTGAAATTAATAAACAAAACTTTTATTTGTATTTTAGGTCCATTACTATTACTAATCATGTATTTCGTGAAACCCTACGTAAAACCCGAACCGGAAGTTACGAACGAAAATAATGTAGAAATCAAACACATTTCACACGAGAATAACCGCATCTATAAGAAAAGTCTAATTAAAAAAGGCATCCTGATCATTTTGATGACTGTTTGCATCTCGACGCTAAACACATTAGAGTTAATATACTTTGTGTTCGGCGCCACCTATTTCCAGTACATACCCATACGACTGACCGCACCTACCGCTGCCGGTATGGTATCAGCGATGATCATATGCTATACCAGTGGACAGGCTATCAATTTTTTCATCGGCATGTGTGTCAAGACTAATTACATTGTTTGCTATCATTATGTCATAAGTTTTGTAGCGTTTATAGCGTTAATATTTGCTAACTATTCCGAGACCGCCCTATGGGCTACCAGTGCTGTGATCGGGTTGGGTGTGTCGGCCCTATTTCCCGGGCATATGACATATTTTGAGCGGCATTTGAAAATAACGGATAAAATATCGTCGTTTTTATGGTGTACGTGCTCTATAGTCAACTTCATACCGATCCCCATATTTGGGTACTATATCGAGAGGTTTCCCATAATTTTCATTGTAATTGAGTTATCATTGCTAACCATTGCACTCATAAGTGTGTTATTGTTTAAAAAACTTAAATAACATTCAGAATCCTATTTATAACAAGAATTTTGTTTTTATTTTTAAACTATATTATAAATATTGTGTTATGATGTTATTTTAAATGACACACATTTATCTAATCATTTATTATGTATCATAACTTTTATCTCATGTGATTATATTTTTGTGTTTTCAGCAATTTACGTATAAATTCATGTTTTATAACTTATAAATATATGTAATAAAGTTTTTCAGAACAAACACGACTACTATTTAGCAGATAAATCATTTGATTAGGGTGAAAAATAAAAGTTTTATTATTAACTATAGCATTTGTGTTTATGTTAAATTAATTATAAATGTTTTTGATCCGGGTATTTAAGACAGGACACATGTACTCATAATAAATATACCATACTAACGCACGTAATCATTGATATTAATCATATTTTTTATTCAATAAGTTAAAAACTAATTTTATTTTTTTTCACTAAAGTTTTGCTAATCCAAGCAAAGACTTAAACAATTGTAAGCCGGCCTCTGGCTTATCCTCGGGCACCATATGTCCGGCCCCTCTGACCACAACAAAACTCAACCCCTTTTCGTATTCCTGTATAAAACCGCCGATAACTCCGTCCGACTTTCCGTCGACAGTCCAATGCCTATAATAATTAAATCAATACGTTTTAAAGTAACATAAAAAATACACCAGGATACTGTTTTTAGGTACACATACCTATAATGTCCAGTTGTCTTAAAACCCAAATTAGTGACAAACCTCTGGTCACCAATGAAGTCGCAAACGGTGTCAAAATCGCCGTTATATACAATAAATTTGGGGATTTTATACGTGTTTATCAAATCCCTAGCGTTTTGTTGTTGAGTCGTAAACGTATTTCTATCATAGGGTCCCCCACAGGGTGACCACTGTTTGGTGCCCTCGCGTACGTGCAGTGCCTTACGTACGGCATCGGTATTCAAATATATTGAATGGCCTAATTTTATACACTCTGCTTTCTCAGCCTTATTTGAAAATTGGGGGTATTTTAGGTCAATTCTGTCAAACTTTGGTCTATAGTAGGTGTCAAACAGTTGTTGGTAACTGAGATCAGGGTAACAGTTATCGTAGATATTGTAGGGGTTGGGAGTCGTCAGCCTCACGGCTCTCACTGATGAACACTTACTATGAAATAAATTTGATATAATTAAAATAAATGATAAGCAAGGTCACTTACGTTTGGTTAGCAGGTGTGCTGAAATCGCACTGGTGTTCAACAGCACCGGCCTTACACTCACAACAGGCCTCAACCTTTTTCTCGTACTCATCGGTGGTCATCAATCCGTGGGATAACGCGTAATCCCAGGGCGACTGTCCGAAGTTGTCATCCATGTCATCCTGAAGGGCACCGTTACCTATTGCCAAGCCTTTAAAAAAGCACACATAATATTGTTATTCAAATATAGACTTAAATAAAGTCCAATTATTTTTAAATAAATAATGTAACTAGTGGTAAATATTATTCTATAATGATAATTTATCAATGATAAATATGATATGAATTAATAATAAAACTATATGTTTTTTTTCTCTTAACTGTATTACAGTACTATTTGTTGTAAATTATTGATAATTAAAATTGATACACATTTTTGTTAAATAATGTTTACATACCTTTCAAATTGATGGTCGAGTTATGTTTGTATATCTGTTTGGCTAACATTGGTATATAAACTCCGGCATAACTCTCACCCGTTATGTAAAACTCGTTTTTCTTAAGGTTTGGATATTTTTGGAAAAAACTTTCGAGAGATAAGTAGTTATCCAATGAAGTCGTCTCATCGTTATTCGTATAGTTATTATTCGAGTCATAACTAAATCCCGTTCCGGCCGGGGATTCAAGGTATAGGATATTCGCCACAGTATTCCAACTGTGATCACGTGTTTCCACAGTCTTTCCATCCTTATTGATATAAAAGGGACCGTTTTCTGTGAGACTGGCAAACAGTGAACTACATCCCGGGCCACCCGTCAACCACAAGACTACCGGTGCGTTTTCCGGGTCTTTAGTGGCCTCGAAAAACCAGTAAAAATAATGCCTTCCCTTCGATGCATCCAAATAACCGGAGTATTGCTTGAAGTTAATAGGCTTTGAAAGGCCCGGTAGCTCTGTAATTAGGTCCTCATTTGCGGCTAATATACTGCAAATGTTTACCACAAATGCTATGCATATAAATCTAAAGCTAGGATAACACATAATTTTAATTTATTAAATTAAAAATAATATTAAAATATACTAATACAGTACTAGCAGAATTTATATTAATTAATAATTTCGTTTAGTTTAAGCAATGGGTACATTGGCATATGACATTTGTATTATCACCAGAATTGAAAGCACCTGTATGTGACACATACTAAAAATTTGTATATGCTTTCAAGAGCACTGATAATTAGTAGAATATAACTGTTAATTAACTAATCCATGGACCCCTGACCCACTTTATACATTTTTTCTAATTTTACTGATAATCAGGGATTTTAATCTCTAATTTAAGAGGAGTAATCTGGATACACATGCATGTGGTAGCAATTATTGATTATTGATTGTATTAATAGCAATTAACTTGAAATGATTCATGATTTAAGTGTCAAACCTATTATCACATTGTGTTCAAATAATAGCTACTGTGTGTATTTTGATTACTATTAATATATGAATAAAATATATTATTCATTAATTAAACAATTAGTTAATTAAATTAATATAAAGAGTAAATATATAAATTTTTAACTTATATCAGTCTCAGGAAAACGAAATAAATATTTTAAAAATATTGCTTTCATGTGAAAAAATGCAATTCATTATTTTTAACATTTATTTTGTTATCTTTTGACTGATATGTTAAGAAAAGTTTTAATATTTTTGTATTATGTAACACTTTTACTTTTATGTTATAAATTATTTATATTTAAGATATAATATCTATACGTCTATAAACTAAATGGCATTTAGGGTTTAGGTAAACTGAGCTATGCACTCATCCATTGAATGTGAGTATCACGTGCGTTACACATGTAGATCATATATCTAATCAGGGGTGTTAGATAAGATTTAATCCCATTGCTATCATGACAATCCTGGTGAAATTATCCAATCAGAATAAGTTTCTTTGTTAGTTATATGTATTTTGTAATAACAATCAGGACTTACATCAAACACACCTTCTGACAGGCCCCTTAATTTAGTGCATTTTAGGGATAATATTATACAATCAGATATACAGTAAACAACACTTTGATTTAGTGTACAGTATAATAAATTAAATGATAAAGCATTGTACAATTAAATTTATTTATAATGAACCATTGAAAATGTTATTTTTCAACATTTATAAACTAGTAAATTTTTGATTATTATAGTATAATAATAATTGTATTTACCTATTATTTACTGTATAATACACAAACTTTTCTAAAATATTGTTATATTATTATGTATTTACTTTATTTAATCAAAATTAAACCTATTATCTATTGTGCAGTGCAAATAAACTGTAGTAAACTTTTATGAATTTTATAGTATGATTCCAAGTAATTACTAATAATAGACCAGTGTAATATTATTAAGGAACTGTATAATATACCGCATAACTGAAACTATAAAATCTTTAGGAAATATATAATTTCTTATAACTACCGTAATAAAGTGTCAAGTGAAATTAACTTTTTAAAGTGTTCTCAAATTTTGTTTATTAGAAAATTTTAGAAAATGGATAATAACAGTGAAATTGAAACTAGGATAAATAATGCAATCGACAATATTGAGTATATAAACAAGCTGAATGAAATTGTGGTTTATTTTACTTTATTAATATTGGTCATTGTTTTTATGATTGCATTAAAATATTTAATCCAAATGAAGTCATCAAGGAAGTTTTATGGTTTTACGAATAAAACTTTTAATAAACTGAAGCACATTGATGATATTCCCGTTGGCGATGTATAAACTAGTATCGTAAAATAACTGGATAATCCTTACTGTTTATGACAATTTAAAAGCATAATGTTAATTCAATATTATAATTAACACAAATAATTTTTACATTATTCATGATATAATGTTTTATGTAAATTTTGTGAAGCTTTTTTATATTGTTATTACTGTATTGATTTTATGTAAAAATGTATATCAATGCATAATGTTAATATTACTTTTTTATTTTAAATGATATATTCATATTATTTGCTAATTACCATATAATAACTAATTTATAATCATTTTTATCTAATGAAAGTTCATATGAAATCAATTCTTATTAATTTAATTGAATTTCCAGTTATTCATAAAACATCATAAGATTTTTATAAAATTATGTATATATTATTTTATTTGTGTATTAAATACTATCATTGAATGAATAATAACCAGTATCTTTATTAAGACTGAATATATTTTAATATCATGGGGTTTGACATAAATCGATGCCATAAGTACCCAAAGGGTGAATCCAGTTTAGGTGATCCTAATAGTAATCAATCACTGATTATTATACAGAGAGACGAGGTATGCATTAATTGATTTATATAATTTAACATTAATTCTGATATAGTAGAGTACTAATATATGAAGTAATATATAAATCACTTTTTTACTTTTAAGCAATTTAATATGAAACTCGATTATATGAAAGAGGGACAATGATTTCTATGAGTAACATAAGATTAATATTTTTATAGAACGTGGTACATTGGTTTACTATGAGACACGTTTCCAAGTAAAGATTAATCTTATATTACTCATAGAAATAATTGTCCCTCTTTCATATAATCGAGTTTCATATTAAATTGCTTAAAAGTAAAAAAGTGATTTATAAATATTTTATTACAATTGGTATGTTTGAAAGCTTATTACCCATATAACCATATCAATAGTAACATGAATTCTTTTATTGCAAATTACATTATCTCAAAATACAAATATAGGTATTGGACTATAGGTTTGTAATTGTAAAATATAGTTCAAGACCTAGTATTGAGATATGATTTGAAATAAAAGCAGTAACATAAGTATTAATTGTATTATTTAATGAAAATTATTATTGTTTTAATTTTTTAATGCTAATTATTACTTAGAGGTTATGCGACTTGGATCAGCAAGTATTGCGGGCAATAGCTCAGGGTACCTTTGCAAAATTTAACATCACGTTAAGAGTTATGGGAAATAATTTTGATATATGGAAACAATTTACAACTAATGAGGTAAATTATTGCGAGCATTAATAATCTAATTAATACAATTTATGCATGACTTATAAAAATGAATCTAGGACATAGACCTCGCTATCACGATGATGACATTGGAGGAGGGTATGCTCCAAATAGCAAATGCCCAGTGGCTTCGTGATGGGTATAATATGGCGATACTTAGCGGCAAATATAAACAAAAACCCGATATATTCAACATGATTGATACATTTTATTTAACTACCTGGTTGCTAATTTTGTCAGTTGTATTATGTATTACTGCATATCAATATTTGTCACATAAATTTCGTAATTATATTTCACCAATAAGTATGATAAAGTTGTTAAAATTTAAACAATTGCTAATTTAATTTTAATCTAGATCAATATAAACGTGTAAATATTGTGAAAATATTTTTTGACACAATCAGACATTTGGTGAGTGAACCGTTGGATAGTATCACAAATCAAGACCTATTTACATATTTGTGGGCATACATGGCACTGGTATTGTCACAGAGTTTTTGTGTCGGGATATTAACATCAATGGTTCACCAGGACTGGCAATATATACATTCAATGGATGAGCTGATTAAGTCAAACATGTCGGTGCTTGTGCCCAATGGTTCATTTATTTATCATGACTATCATAAGAATCATGAGTGGAATTTATACATTGATCCAAAACTTGATTATTTATATAAAATGAATAGGATCGTTTTTATCGATGAATGGCATGATCGCAATTATGTTAAGGTATATTATTGTGTCAAATTAATAGTCAATAATTTTCAATATAATAAGCATATATAGTTTTTAAGCTAAAGATAAAATGCAAAGTTACCATTGCAAATTTAACACAAAACCCCTAATTATTCATTAAAATTTAAATAATAGAGATTCTGATATAAATAATATGAATGCTCGAAATGTATAAGCTAATAATACAATGCCACATACCGGACTATTATTCATCACCTAGTTCATTAATAAACTTGTTAATTATAAATTGAGAGCTAAAGCATTTTAAGTCTTGGACACTCTTATAATTTAAATAAATACTTGACGTTTAAAGTGCATATTGAACAATTTAAACAAGATTAAATGTTTAATTTATTAAGAGTTTACTCCGGGATTACGTCGAAACCCGTCGCATGGTTTACCTAAGGGACTGGTGGTCTTTATTTATAAATAAAGCAACAAATTTACACATGAGGTTAGAAATCGCCGAAAATATGTATATGCCATCACTTTATGGACATTTGATCAATAAATGTAAAAATATGGACAAATGTGGGCATCATCATCATAAACGACATTTATTGCTTAAAATGTAAGTATTAATTAAAACGGTGATAAATATTAGGTCATTCGACCAGTGGCATTAAATTAATTATATTTTTTGGTTTGTTAATTTTTAAAAATTGAATAAATTTATTGATTATATTGGTTTGTTATTTAGCAGTCAAATTCTGGTGGAATCCGGAATTAATAATAATTGTCAATCCAGATCAGAATATAGTGTTATTTCGTGGGGAATCAGTGAGCTGGATCAATTATTGAATAAAATTGATCGCAAGTCTAAGGAATATAAAATGTTTTTCATTAATGATATAAATGGCGGTCAAAACAAAGGCCCGGAAAGTGTAAAAACTATTGAATTGAAGTTTATTACAGATTTGTTCAAGGTGTTCAGTGGATTCATAGTGATTATTACATTTATTTTTGTTTTTGAGATATTTATTATGTATTTTCAAAAATCAATTTTAATTAATTAACAATGTTATATCATATGTCATATAGCTCATTAAATTTTAATTTATTAGATTAAGAATTTACATAATAATTAATTAGATTTCCAATATAATCAATAAAATATTGTTG